TGGCCTTTTTAACAAATTCTTTGCCAAGAAAGTCATGGCAGGAGAAGGAGGAGTAAAAGCAGAGTTGGCAGGGCCTCGGTGTCGGTGAGCGGTGTCTCGTCCGTTGGTGGGGCGGGAGGCGGGAGCGGGGCCGTGGTGAGCGGGTGAGGCGCAGTGGGTGTGGCGCTGAGGGAGGGCAGTGTGTGTGTGTTGGTGGAGCGGGGTGGTGTTGGGGGCTGTGGGCGTGGGTTGTGTTGCGTGTGTTGCTTGTGTGTGTGTGGGGCGAGGCGTTGGGGCGTGGGTGTTTGTTGAGTGGACGGGAGTGTTGTTTGTTGTGGTGAGCGTGTGTGTGTGGTGTGGGTGTGTGTTGGGGTTTTGTTGGGTGTGTGTTGTGTGTGTGTGTTGGGGGCTGTGGTTCCAGGGTGTTGGTGTGGGTGTTGATGTGTGTGTTGGGTGAGCGGGTTGTTTGTTGCGCGTGGTGGTGTTTTTGGGAGAGAGTTGTGAGTGTGTGGGGCGTGGTGTGTTTGCGTGGGAGAGGTGAGAATGGCGGGTGTGAGAGCGGAGCGCGGCCGGGTGTTGGGGCTCGGCCTCAGGGCAGGAATGCGCAGCCCGGCTGCGGGAGGTGGAGCGGACTGAACGACTGGCTCAGTGCCTTCGGGCACTGTCGGGAAGCCTTGCGGATGCAGGTTCGACTCGGCCCAAGGTACCTTGCCCGGCACCGAGCAGGAGCGCGCCGCTTGTAGTTCTGCGCTTTCCACTGCTGTCCGGGAGCACTCCATGCAACACACGCGGCACCGCCATGCGCTGCTTGCTTTCTTTCATGTTAAGAGGAAGTGGAAAAGTAGGCTTATATAGTATAGGATCTGTTGGGTGTCGACGCGAGGAAGAGCTGATGCTCCGCCGTCGGAGGCAGGGTGGGACAATGCAGCAGCAAGGAGAAGGAAGAGCGGCCCTACCGTGCGCGACTACTGTCAATGTCAGCAACGCAACACTGCAAAGGATCAGGGTGCTCCATCCCAGCGGGAGCCCAACACACAACTGCACAGGACGGGCACCTCCAATCTCGCATCGCGGGAGACAAAACCTCCCTTTTTCTTCAATTCATTCTTCTCTTGCACTCACCTATTCTTACACACACCCACCCCCCCCCCCCCCCCCCGCCCCGTCCTCTCCTCTCCTCTCCTCTCCTCTCCTCTCCTCTCCTCTCCTCTCCTCTCCTCTCCTCTCCTCTCCTCTCCTCTCCTCTCCTCTCCATTCCCTTCCCAAACCTTTCCTTCCCTTGAAATTTCCTTTCCTTGAAATTTCCTTTCTTTTCCTCTTCTCTCTTATTCTCTACTGTGCACTCACACCTACCCCATGACACAAATTCAGGGGCTGTTGTTTAAAAACAATCAATTTTTCCTTAACCTCATCTTACTCCTCTTCAAGCCTGTCTTCCTTCCACTTTTATTTCCCTAGAATAAGAATTGACAAGAGCCACAAGACTTTTTGCTGGTGATTCATAACCCCCCCCCCCCTCATTTTATTCTCCTAGATTATAAATAAATCTACAGAAATAAAGGTCACAGAGCATCAGAAGACAGCTAACATAGCCCACAAGCCATCCAAACCACCTTGTGGTTTCAAATGCCAAAATCATCCTCTGTCCTCCACAAACTCTTGTTGCAGTTTTGTTCCAGCAAATCATTGCATGAGCATTTCACAGTGGGCAATTCATTTTTGCTCTCAGCCTGACTCTTTAGGAAGATTTCTCCTGAAATATTCTCCAGAAAACTCCTTCAACCCTGCCCACAGCAACTTCAAATAACAGCAAGTGGCAGATTGGTCTAGCTGGGCTACAGTTGCAGTGAAAATTCCATCTCAAATGTTTGGCCTTTGACAGTTCTAACTTTCTTTTTCCCATCTGCCTCCTCCACACTCTGGCTGCACTTTTCCCATGTGTTTTATCCCAGCACCCAAGTCCACAGTGGCCTTTGCATTTCCCGAGGCTGCAGCACTGCCACACATGAACCAGTTCTTGCAGAGACACCCCAGCCAGCAGTGCTGCACTAAAACACCTCCCCTGGCTCTGCTGCTGAACATCTGCCCTCTCTTGCCATCGGTGCATTTCCACTTTTCCCTGACCTTCCCAGTGCATTTCTGCTTGCAAGGTTCTTTTTCTTTCCTGAAAGCTGTACCAGTCTAGTGTCTGTAAAGCTTATCCTGCTGTAAAGCCTGGAAGCTACTACTATTTCCTCATCTATTTTAGGAGTCAGGGTTTTGTCCCTGTCTGCCTGTCCTCACCTTCATTTTTAACTTCCTTTTTTTTTTTTTTTGGCCTGGATTTTTTTTAACACAGTTTTAACTCTCTACTTTTTTTTTTTTTTTTCCCACTTCCTTTTTTTTTCCCTTTACACAGAATTGTATTCTTGATATTTTTTGTCCACAGGGATCAGGGGATCACCTGTAAAGTTAATGGAAGAGTTAATGAGGGAATGTAGGAATGCAGGAGACTGCTATTTTTAGCATGCTTCTTCTTACATAATGATTTTTTTTTTTCCCTGTGTGGTATCAAAATAGATACCAAAATACCAAATAGAACTTGGTTTCTGATAAACCTGTTTTATGTCTCAGTGTTTTACAAGAAACCCCTGTAGATACTGATACTGCAGCCACCATGATAAAAATAAATCCCGGGGATCTGATCATTTACACTTGCCTAGGAAAAACTCTGGTGGAAGGCAGCACCTTGGTACCACAAACTTCTCATGGACGGAGCTTGGTTTGTGCAGAAGATTTCAGGACTGGACATTTCAGTTCTGCTACAGCTTTTATGCTGCTTTCCTTGCTTCTCTCTCAGCCTTTAGGAATTAAAACAGGATAGCAAACATCTGCATCACACATTCACTAGGATCAGGGTATGGCTTCCTCTGTCTCTAGTTCCACCTCAAAGTTAAAAGAATGATATCTTTAAGTATTTTTTTTTACCCTGTAAATGCCTTAAACACACACATCAGTGTTTCATAGCCCTTTTCAGCTCCTGTATGGAGATAATGCAGCTTTTGCAATGTTCTAAGGGAAACTACAAGAGACAAGCTTGAATAAATTGTGGGTGCTACAAACATGTGCTCCAAATCAAGTTAGCTAAATCCCTGGGATCCTCACTGGAAGAATGCATCATAAATTCTCTTTATTCCTAATATTAGGTGATAATTGTCTCTAAAATGTCCATTCAAGCACAGTTTAAGCCTTCAGTGAGGACTTCTGGAGGGGGTCCATCCATGTTTGAGTGGTATTCCACAGCAGGTAGATTTTTCTTCCCCAATAAATGAATTATAAGTAAATAGCTTTCTGCAACATCAAAGGACAGAATTCAAGGCTGAGCTTAAGAGTCTCCTTGCCAAGGTTTGCAGTGGATGGTGAATTTTGCATGTTTCCAAGGGGGAGTCTTCCCTCATGGAAGAGATTCCCACTGAGGGTTATTAGCCCATTCTGGAGAGACAATCACATCAGGAAATCCCTGAGCCAAGAAAAGCTGAGGGCTGGGAGAGCATCAGGGAGACATTTGACAGAAGCCAACCCTGTGCTGAAGCACTTTTTTGTGCAGCCACTGTCAGGAGGGAGGACACTGCAGGGCAGGGACAACATCTGATCTGGCACAGATGTTCTGGGCAGCAGTTGCCTCCCTGCAGCGCCGTGCTGCCTGTGGTAAACACAGGAATAAAATACTTACCTGCCTCCCAGGGCTTTGTGAGGCTTATCCCATGTCTGTACAATGCTACACGAGTTCCAACCACTCTGGGAAGCTCCCTGATTAGAAGATTCCTCTCAGATTACGAACTCCTGTGTGTCATGTTTGGTGGTTGCTCTGAAACCAGTTCTCAGACCGCTGCTGTATTTTATCCCCACTTTCTGCTGCTTCCAGAGGAATCGAGAGGGAGCCTCAGCACACACCTAAAACAGTCCCAGCAGGAGTGGGAACACTCAGATGGCTTGTGGATTTTTCAGCATCTGGCTTCTTGGGGCAGAGCTTTTTGTCCCCAATGGATTCACCTCCAAGCCTAGTCATGGATCCAGATCCAAGCCAGCAGAGCCAGCAGAGCCAGCAGAGCCCTAGTGCCATGTGAGCACCAGACACTGCCCTTCCTGTGCAGGACCTCAGTGTCCAAAGGGAGGTGTCAGAGGATGAACCACGCTCTGCTCTGTGGTGCCCAGCAGTGCGACAAGAGGAATGGGCAGAAACTGATGCCCAGGAAGCTCCACCTGAACATGAGGAAAATCTTTCCTCAGCAGTGACTGAGCACTGGGCAGATTGTACAGAGAGGGTGTGGAGTGTCCTTCATTGGAGATATTCCAGAACCATCTGGACACAATCCTGTGCTGTGTGCTCTGGGATGGCCCTGCTGGAGCAGGGGGGTTGGACCTGGTCCCTTCCAGCCTGACCATTCTGTGATTTAGTGACTGTGTGACCTCGCTGAAATGCAGGTCTTCGGTGTGAGGAGTAAATGAATGGAGAATGTAACTCAGTGACAACTTCCCTTCCTCTCCATTCCTGAACTACAATGGCTCACTCACAGGTCAGTGGGCAGGAGTCCCAGGGCCAGAAGAGCTGCCTCGTCCTCATGAAGATGGGACGCACAAGGCGATATTGGATGGTGCTTCTACTCCTCATTTCCTCAGGGAAAGCCCCGGGGAGCTCTTTAGGAAGCTGTCGCTGCCTGGAGCGTGCGGACAATGCTGGCTGCCCTCCTCACTTTATCCCGGCGAGCGACCTTCGGTGCCCCAGTCCTGGGGACAAGCGTCTGCCGCGTGTTTGGGCAGAGCGACAGCCACGGCCACCAGCGGCTTGGGGACACGCTGCCCACCTTCCCCAGTGCCGAGGGGTGCCCCGAGCCTCCCGCTCTCCCCATCCCCGGGGGGGGCGGGCCGGGCCGGGGGCGGCCCCAGCTCCATCTCGGCCCGCCCGCCTCCCGCAGCCAGTCGGGGCGGAGAGGCGGCACTGGAGGGCTCCTCTGCCGGCAGCCGGGCGGGCAGCGGTGCACATGGCATGTCTGATGGCGGCTTTCTCCCTGGGCAGCGCTTTGGTAAGGCGAGCCCTGCCTTCCCTCTGCCAGCGCCGGGCGGGGGGCGAGGTGCGGGGCTGGGGGACGGAGATGGAGCCGGGGCTCCGCGGGCAGCTCCCGAGACGCTTCCCGAGGGAAAAGCAGGGTCGGAGGGTACACCCGGGGCTGCGGGGTGCAGGATGGGGACTGAGGGATGCGCAGGGTGAGGGATGCGGGGTGAAGGATGCGGGATGAAGGATGCGGGGTGAAGGATGCGAGTGTGCGAGCGGCTGGCGGCGCACGGCGGGACTTGACCGCTGGTTACCTCTGTCTGTAGCTAAGGCGGGGGGATTATCGCCGAGCATGCTCCCTGCGCCGCTGCGCCCCGCCGGCTTCCCGGAGGATTTGCGGAGGGACCGTAACCTTTGCATAACACCCGGGGCCGGCGGGGGACGGAGCGGGCAGAGCCCGCGGGACCGTCCTGCCGCTGCCACTGGCCGGGCGCTGCCGTCCCCGCCGGGCTCCGGGAGCGGCCCGGCTCCTCACCGGCTCCACCAAACTACATGGGAAATAGCCCAAAGTGTCCAAAAGCAGCTGAGAGGTGAGCGCGGTGCTGCGGAGCCGCCGGTCCTGCGAGCGCAGGGCTCGGCATGCGGGGCTGGGGCATCGCTGCGGGGTGGCAGCGGAGAGGAGAGAGCGCTGCAGGTGTTGGGGCGTACAGAGGGGGCTCAGGTGTGCCTGTGCCTTGGCTGAGTCTGTGCCTGTCGTAGCCTCGGCATTGCCCAGCTTTTTCCAAGCGAAGGTGAACCCGGGAGGCGTTTGGATCATCCCGGTTGCTCGGGGGATCCTCACCCGTAGCGGGTGGTCCCTGGAGGAGGAAGGTGTGTGAACAGGCAGTTCGGTCCACACAGTGACTGAAATTGTTTAATGTCCCAGTAACAAAAATCTTTGGCTTCACACTCTCGGGTGATTGAGTAGTCAGAGGCTAGGGTCTTGTCCAAAGGATGTTTTATTTGGAATCGATCTAAACTGGAGAAGCTCTGACTGTCACCTAGATAATCAAGGTGACCTACTCATTCAGAGTTCATTTTTGGATATTCCCTCTGATTGTGTGGAAGTGCCCAGTGGTTCCTCAGAACAAAAGAGATTATGAGTGCCAGAGTCAGCCTTGAAAACATTCAGGGAAGAATATTGTTAACTTGCCTTCCCAACGTTTCTAGGGAAGTTCCCCTGCTTTGATTGTTGAGCTCTAAGATGTTTCACATTACTCTTGTTATGTTCAAATTACATACCATGGCACTGAACTATTTAAGAATTTGACAGTAAGTGTTAGTGGATACCTGACCTCTAAGTAAGTTGAGAGCATGATTAAAATCTCTTTCTTGAGAAAATGTGGCGAGCAGAGCTGATTATTTTCATCCAGAACTTGGGGCTTGTGCGTGAAGAATGTGAAGATGCCAGCTATGGAGTGGTTAAGCAGAAGTATTTTTTTTTTCATCAGTGATTATGTAGGACTTGAGGTTTTTTAAATGTTTTTGTCAGCATTCATGACAAGTGACTGATCTGAGCTGGGCTGGTGTTACAGCAAAGATGGGAAGACCGGGAACCATGAGAGGGAAATGGAAGTGGCACAGGCAAGAGGAGGCAGTGTCACTTCTTAGCTGAATTAGACAAATAGAGGGAAACAATGGCAAGATCTTCAGCTCTGTTTGTGTTCATGCATTGAAAAGTAGTGCAGCACATCTGCTTTCCAGGAGATAACTTTGTATTATGTGTCAGCATGGAAAGCTTGGCACATCAGCCACATACAGGAGTCCTTTCCAATACAAACCTACATCAAAACCACTAAATTTCCTAATAGACAACTGTGCAGATGTTTGGCTCTGCTTAAGCCATCCACCAAACAACAGATGACAGTGAACAGCCTTTAAACAGCCTTTAAACTGTTCAAAATTCTGTTTAGCTGAAGAAAATTCATGACTGTTTTTCTCTTGAGCTTACACACATCCTGCTCATATTGGTGCAAGGCACCTGTGGCGGTAAAAAGAATCCAAAAAGACAAAAAGATCCAAATTTTGTAGGCATAATTAAAAAAAAAAAAAAAAAAAGAAAAAAAAAAGAGAAAAAAAAAAGAGAAAGATGGGTGGAAGGCCATTGTCATGGCCAGGAGGGGGGGGGGAAGGAGGTTTAGTCCAAAAAGTGCCAAGTGGAATTGCACAGAGTGCTGTGATAGGCAAAGTGTAGCAAGAGGGATGGCTGTGAGCACAGGACATTGACCTTACAGTGTCAGTGGTGCAAGAACTGGAGCAGGGTTTGTGTGCTCATGTGGCTGATAAGATTTCCATTAGTTATCACTATCAAGCATGGAAAGCACTCAAGGATTTTGGGTGCAAAGCACTGTGCTTTCCTAAAACACCTCCAGAAAAGAACTTATACTGTCGTCCCAGGTTGCAAAGTCTCCAGAACTATCAGTGCAGGAGAAAATAAAGCATGAAATAGTACATTTGAAAATTCTCAGAAATATAGTTTCACCTTGACAAAAGCATAGGCTGATCTAGAGGAGCGAGAGCTCTTAGATATTTTGAGTGGCTGTCTGTTGAAATGTCGGCACAAATAATTGTTCAGCCAGCTCCCTTCCCCCTTCAGCTCTGTACCAAGCCCTGGAATCAGAGTAACTAGAACCAAATTCCTTGAGTGCATGAGAAACCAAATACAATGGGGACTGAACTTATAAATGTATTAATCTGGTGCAAGATCTGAAAGACAAACTGGTGCTAAAGGAGCTGTATGTGCTGCAAGATCTCTTTTACCTCTTCTGTCAAGGCTCAGGCAAAAGAACCAACAAAAGATTGCTTTATTTTGCTCCTCTTTCACCTTTCAGCACATTACAGCTGGATTTTTGTGCTATTTAAAGAACAATTCTGGTGCAGAAGGTTTTGAAACGTGTTCCTAACAAAAGTCTGTGAACTTTCTCCACTTTCCCTGCAGGGTGGCAGCAGTTCTGGTTGCACCATGGCCGAGCCCAAGTCTGTGTGTGTTTCAGTGGACGAGGTGGTCTCCAATGGCACAGACACTCAGGACATCCACCTCATCAATGGACACTTAAAAAAAGTGGACAATGCTCTGACAGAAGCTCACAGGTTCTCCTACCTGCCCCGCAGGCCAGCTGTGAACATTGAGTTTAAAGAACTGTCCTACTCCATCCAGGAAGGGCCATGGTGGAGAAAGAAAGGTGAGGAAAACAAGGTTTCATCCACAGGAGGCTGTAGAGGCAGCAGTTCATACAACTGCTCATTTCTGCCTCCCAGTTCTTGAGGATCTGAAGTAAATATAGTATTGCTGTGCTGCCAAATATCTGTCCTGTGATCTTGCCTGTCTACAATTTATTGTTGAGGGTGGGTAGAGCATGCAGGAGTTTAAAGATGGGGGTGGGGGAAGTGAGGAGGCTTTGTTTTTTTACTCCTGCAATTGGCTGTTTTGTGAGGTGGTTGTTTTTTCAGTACTCTTTCAGAACAGTGAGTATCTCAGAATTTCACAAGGCATTAGACACCAGGATAAAAACTGTTTTCTTTAAGGGCTGTGTTTGGAAAGAAATGCTGTGAGCTCTAGGTTTCTCTGCAGCTTAGATGGGTCTCTCAAAGCTTATAATTTCTGTGATGAAATCACTGGTGCCTGCTGGGACTGAATCCTGGGGTTCAGTCAAGGACCAGGATGCTCTTTGTTTTGCTGATACACACTGCAGAGAGTTCACACCAAAATTATAGATATTGGGCACTTCTCAAAGAAGAGAAGCGTTGGGAGTAAGAAGGGATCATTCAGCTCTCTTCTCTAGAGGTTCTTGGTTGATTCCAGTTCTAAAAGGTGATTCTGTCCTTTCTCCTCTGCTTGCCATCAATTCCTTTCATGCCTTCATTGGCTTTGTGTAACCATGTGTTTCCTAGAGAGTTTTCTGTTTTTTAGGGTTTTTTTTTTTTTCGTGTGTGTGGCTGGTCCTCTCTGAAAGGAAAACTAGGTCATGCAGTAAATTCCTGCCAGCGAAAAGAAGTATGGCCCAAGAGAAAAATATTGAAATCTTCAGGAGAATTTTGTGTCCTAAATGCCATAGTTGCCCTTCCTTGAGGAACTCTCTCCCAGCAATGTAAATTGGCATGGTTGTGTGCTTTAGTTCTTTATAGAGATAAGGCCCTGCCAGTGCAGCCCTCACCTGAGCCATACTTGATACCTGCACTGGCCCTGAAACTACAAATCCACTGGCTTAAAGGTTCCACTTGAAATTGTTTCACCAAGTACTTGGCTGCTGTCTGTAAATTGTATCATTATCACAACACCAAGGCTCCAATAGTCTAAACATGTATGGTATGAAAAGCTCTGGAGCTGTTGCCATGAAAGTGCTACTGTATGCGGGCAGGCTGTGCATACAATTATTCATTTGTTGAAAGATCTGCAGATTTCATGCTTTAATGGGTTTTTCAACATCAAAACTGTATGTAGACCCACTGGCCTTCTTTTAATTGCTTGCTAAAATTGCATGGAGCTACATTGTCCATAGGAGAATAGCTTGGTTTGGCAGCAACTTTGGTACATTCAAAATTATTCTTTATCTTATCAGAATGAGCACAAAACACTGAAGGTTTTTTGTCCTCCAAGAAATGGAGCAATGCCAAAATGTCTCATTTAAGATTTAAAAGCTTGAGATTTCTAACTGAATCTATTTCTCACTGGCCAGAATTGATTGAGGGATTCTATACCCAAAACCTCTGTTAAGGTTTTCTGACGTGCCTGGGTGACTTGGCTTGAACAAAACAATGTCCTGGCAAAACACCCTGCTGCTGAAAATGACCTGTGGAGGTATTTAGCTCTGGGCTATGGTTATATGGCTGTGTCACCACATTTGGGTTTGAAAGAGGAGATTGAACTCTCCTGGCTGGCTGTGTGGAGGGGTTCAGGTGTTCCTCAGCTGCTCTCACACCCCGTGTCACCCCTGGGACCACCAAGGACAGGCTCAGAGCGGCTGAGCTGCTGTCTGCCAGCAGGGCTTGGCTCTCCTCTGCTTGCCAAGGAGCTGACACAGACTTGGGAGGTCTGCACCCAGTGCCAAGTGAGCCAAAGAGTGCTCTCACAGCCAGGGAGCTGAACCACATCGTGTGGCTGAGGCCATTCCCAGCTGGAGACGAGCCCTGACCCTTCTCCTTCCTCACCAGGGAGAGCACAGCTGGAATATTCTATCAGTTTGGGTGCTTTGTATCAGCAGAGATATGAAGCTGGAAAGGGTCTGTCAAAGGGGTAAAAAAATGGTTCAGGGGACCTACAAAGAGCAGCTGAGGAGTCTGGGCTGCTCCTGCCAATAGTGCCAGATGATAAATTACAAGAGCCCATGGGTGGTTCGGGGTGGACACCAGGAAATAAATTCCTGTTGCCAGCTGCAGCACTGGGATGTGTCACCCAGGGACAGTGGGGACACGTGGCTGAGCTGCTGATCTGATCTGGAGCTGGTGGTTCTCTTGCTTTGATGGAAAGCTGGGCCAGGTGACCTCCAAAGGTCTCTTCCTCCAGTGTTTCAGTGAGTTGCTGGTCAAATTATAGAAACCTTCCAGAACCAAACTTTCCTCCCAGCCGTGTTCCCTCATCCAGGGACTGGCTCAATATATTGGTTTTAAGAGAAAATATTTTCCATTAGAGAAATAAAAAAGTAAGTTGCTTAAATAGTCCCCAATGAAGGTAGGAACCAAACAGTTCAGATTCTCTCATTTATTTTAGTGGTTCTGCAAGTAGAAGTTTTTTTTGTGTGTAATTTGGGATATCTCTGTTCAAACCTGGTGGATTTGTAGCTGAGTGCATTACATATAAAACTATTCTGAATACCTTATGCAGGTATAAGGTATTCAGAATAGTTCCAGTGGGAAACTGGGACTTTGCAGTGCCCAGGAGAAGGGCAATATTGTACCTCCAAACATTGTGCTGGATTCAGCACTCCTTTTGGATTCCCTGTGCTAAATGTCTCTCTCATTGCTGTAATGTGAAATATTTGAATTCACTTTTTATGAGAAGAGTAGCAGAAAACATGCTGGGGAAAAAAAAAAGAAAGGAGATGTCTCTCAGTTCACATTGTTCTTGGGTGTTGGTTGTGGTAAGAAGAGATAAGGAATGCTGTTTCAAAAATGTCTTTTAATTAATGGTGTTTCTATTCTTAAATGGAGCTTGAAAAAGAAAATCTACTATTTCTACATCATTCTCTATGACTGTATATGAATTAGTTAAAACCTTTCAAGAGTGTTGGATCACAAAGGCAGAAGTGCAGTTCCCTTGCAAAGACAATTTGTGCCGGCATGTTGGACAGGAATCAGCTGAAGAGCAATTCCCTTCAGTAAAAATGGCATTGCAAAGTAATGTTAAGGTTAGGCTCTAAATGAGCAGGAGGAGGAATAATTAGTAGTGCTGCCATTGTGTTCTGTACTTAGCTTGATTGTTCAGGTAATGCAACTCATGGTATGTCATGTCTTTTACTTTGCATTAAAAGCCCAAAGAAAGGTGAATTTGCATTGCTTGTCAACAACAAAGAAGCTAAATAAGCCATAGTAGGCTTCAGATTGGAATTTTTCATTTATTTTTGTCTCAGCCTTAAACTGCTTAATTAAACTATTAAATATCATTTTCTCTTTAAATACAGGGAGGGGCATTTTGATTCTAATGTTTATATGATAATGCTGCTCTCCTTCTGAGGTTTTATCAGACTCATGGCAGAGATTGGTGTGACTCTGGAGCTGATTAATTCCTGCTGTAATTTCCCCTGAGGTCAGTGGGATTAACAGGGAAGGAATATGGCAGGTCAGTCCTTGATCAAAGCTGCTCTATCTGACCCATTCCATTTGGTAGGATGTTGCCAATATGGGAATTTGGGAGAGGTCAAAGAGGTAAAAGTTTCAGAAGGTCTCAGCTGACTTTGGCATTTTCCCCATAAAGCTTTTAGGGAGTTGGCCAACAAGTAGAAACAGCCATTCCTTCAGGTTTGAAGGAAAGGGATTTTTGAGTGACTTGTGAGGTTAAGGATCTTCCAGAACTGAAAATGTGTCCCAGTCTTTGAATCCAGGCTGTGTTCAAGCACGTCCTGGTGGTTTCCTGTGGGTCAGTGAGGTTCATGATTTCAGAAAGCCCCAGGGCTCCTGGAGGAACTGCTGTGAGGTTAAGATGGACTGGCAAAGACAGAAAAAGGGAACTTCAGCATATTTGGTAGAAATAATAGGGCTGCTTAGTCCTAGGATACTTCTGCTTTCTTTTAGGATGAGGGACCCAGCTGCCTTGGAGGGGAAAAGAAAGAGTCCTGTGTTACATCCAGCGTGGATCCTTAAATGTGAAAAGCAAGATCTGCAGAGCTTTGGAACAAAACACGGCCAAAGTTTCACTGTCTTGTCACAAAGCCATTTATCTAAGGGCTGAGGAAGAGATGGAAGTGGGTCTTGGCTCCTGAGCTGTATGTTTAAACTGCAGTTTGAAATGTAAATCACAAGAACACAGAGATTGGTTTTACCGGTTCACAGAAAAATTACAGACGTGTAGGTTTTCATACTAGGACTCCTGAAAACTGTTTGCAAGAGGATTTGGTAGAAAAGTCAGTGCCTTGGGTTTCTGTCATTTTTCTTAAAAGCACCATGAAATAATCTGAATTGTGGTTTGGGGATGAATTATGTATAGTCCCCTCTACAAAGGGGGCATGAAAAGTACTTTGGAGCTTTCTGTCTGGGTCAAAGTCATTCAGCTTTACTTGAGAAAGATACATACATTCTATGTATGCCATGAAAGGACATTTGTTCTATTGTTTCTAGGTGGGTTTGCTATAATGCAGGATGGAGATGGAAATGTTCTGCCTATATAATTGAGTGCATCCAGCAAGAAAATAGTAATAAATTTGCTCGCAAAACACCACAACAACTCAGGGATTGCTTTTCTTCTTCTTTTTTTTTTTTTTTTCCCTCCCCTCTCACACTTCTCAGTATTCATGGTTAATTAGGCAACGTTTTCGTTGGAAATTTCTCCGTTGTTATTTTTAGGGCTGTAATGAGTCACTTGCGCTGCGTTCGAGCTCTGCTAGGATTTGGTCTGGAGTAACCTCTGAGGGAGCTGGCTCCGGCCGGGCACAGTGCACCCGGGGATTTTCACTGCAGAAATTCGTGCTCAGCAGAAAACGCCCCATTTCTTGTTATTTTGGGTTTGCTCTGACGGCTCCAACCCCGTGCA